CTTATAAAAGAGTATGTGGAATCTTCCATGTGTGAGAAAACGTGGCCCCCTAATAAATTTGTGCGAAAGCTTCACCTTCATATCAAAGAAACTCTTAGAAATTTCAAAAATCACTGAAAATTTTTCAAATCATTTTTTTTTTTTTTATCCACTTTAATGCACTTTTGCAAGTGTGTGCATATTTCGCCCTCCTTGATATCTGACGTTAAAATGTCTCAGGCGTCACCCTACTTCACGTAGCCTTTCAAGCGACTCGCCCTTCACACCTGTTATCCGCTTTTCAATGTTTGCCCCAAATATGGATACACTTTTGCAAAATCTTTGCTGTGGTTTACAAACCACAATGGGTGGTCAAAACTTCGACATGGCAATCAACTCGTAATTTCTGATCAAAGCCAATGCGATACGCCAAAGGGATATGGCACGAAAATTTTAATAAAACTAGCAGAAAAATGGGGTTACCATAAATTCGTGCATAAATATGTGAGCGCAGGTACAGGGCAATAGTTATGTAGAAGCTAATGCCCACTGAACAGCGTTTGCACGTATAAATTGATAACTGCTCAGGCGCTGCAGCATATTCGTTACATTTTACGCTTTTAAGCTGCTACTGTGTCTGATATAACTGCCCTTGCAGTTTCGAAATATTTAAAGTGAAGAAAATTACAACTATTTTGCATTGCTTTTTTATGTCTGCTCCCTTAGGAAGGGTAGTACTCAGCCAGCAATTCAGCTTGCCAGCAGGTGTGGCGTATCAGGTTTTTCGCTCAGCGTTAAAAGTTTTCACTTAACAAAAAAATCAAAGAGTATGCAAAGCTTGACACGGTTACATATGTGCATATACACGTCCAAGTTTCAAGTTTTCATACTTTTGTGGTAGATATTTTTCACATTTCCTACCTTCCTTTTTTTTCAGATTTCATTGCTGGACTCAAGGATGTTTCGGTTACAATACCACAAGCGGTGAAACGAGGCAGCAATGCATTGCTCATATGCAATTACGATATGGAAAATGATACTTTATATTCGGTAAAATGGTATAAAGGACGTCGAGAGTTTTATCGCTATACACCAAAGGAAAATCCGGCAATGAAAGTTTTCCCCGTGGCCGCCGGACTGAATATAGAGGTATGTAAACAGCATTGTTGTTGTAAATAAATACGAATTTTTAGCTTTATAATGAGCACTGTATATGTATTACAAGCCAAAATCAATAGAATCAATCGTGGTGATTTGCACGTGCTTGTGTACATTAGACTGCATCACTCAAAAAAAAAAAAAAAAAAAAAAAATGGTATTGTTTTTCCATTGACATTGTAAAATCTATTATTTTTTAAGATTTGCACAAAAATATTTCGGAAAAATATGACTTACGTGAGCTGGCGTAATTTGAAAATACCCAAAAATTTAGTTTTTTATGAATAAAAATAGTTTTTTTTTTAAGAATTAAAAAAAATAAAGTGAAGACAAAAAAGTTTGCACCAAAATATTAAAAAAAAATTCAACGGAATCATAAAGAATGTACACGAAAAAACGAGTCAACTGTGTTTACTCATCACTTGCGTAAAACTAACTGTAAATAAAATGTATGTATACACATTCATAGGGTATGTTGTCGTTGTTAATTTCGCGTATCTATTTGTAACTTCTGCGTACTCTTCAAAATGTGGGCGGCGAAGTGTGAGCTTTTGGAGAAAATTTTAGTCAAAAAGCATGAAAAAGTATGTGTGAACGAGGAAGCATACCTCCCTTAAGCCCTTAAGCAGATTCGGGGCGCTGAGTTTTATAATGCAACGAAGACAAATGGAGTCCAAGATGCCTTCAAGCTAAAAAGACTGGTCAAGTTCCTTGTTTTTAATTATTTTTTTGCCATAATAAATACTTGGTGTGGCAAGCCATCTGCCCGTGTGGCATGAAAGCAAAAAATCATGACAACGGGCTCCATAAATCAAGAAATTTGTATGAAGGAGTGTTTGCAATATCGTTTTCTGTCGTTCATAAAGCAACATAAAGGCTCAGTTCTATCATGTCCCGATTTAGCATTGTGCCATTACAGCCCCTATGGCGTGTCAGTCACGGGGTATATATTGCTCAAAAGGACCACAACCTACAAAACTGTTCACAATTGCGATCCGTTGAAAATTATTGAAAGAACATTGATAAAAAGGAAAGAAGGCATCAAAAATTATAAGAAATTCAAAATTAGTTGGCAGAGAGAAGCAGATACCGTCACAATAACGGATGTCCATATCCTAATGAGTGGGCTCAAATGTAAATTGCGCCATTTTGTTTATAATGAAGATAATTGAAATAATTTTTTTTTGTTTAATATAGCCACATTTTGTTCTGAATTTCAGAAGCACTCGAAACGATTGAAATGATATTCTAGTGACGATATATTTTTAAATGTTGATTTTAGTCCCCTGAAAGAGATTTTAAGAGCCCTCATTGAATAGCCTCATTGAATTTTACATTTTCTGCTTCATTACAGACGACTCAAGAATATCATTGTACTCCTACACATAATTAGTCGATTCACAAGACGTGCTAAGCGTCGTAAAATCATAAGCAAAAATTTAGTTTATGTAAAACAACGATTAAAATGCTTTAAGAGGATTTTTACTACACCGAAACGTTTTTATCCCTGTCAGTACAGAAAATCAGCCACTGAAGCTAAAAATCTGAAAATTGGTTTCCCGGCAAATTACGGGTCATTGATTTTAAAAGTACAATGAAAAGTTTTATAAAACCCCTAGTTTTACCGTTATTCATCGTCCATTATATTGGACAGTGGTAATCTTTCTTTTTTTGTTTTGCGAAATGTATTTCAAAACTATAAATAACGTTTAACATTCTTTTCGGATCTCAATTCCACCGAAAAATATATAATGTTTTCCTATATATTACACCATTCAATATTGCCTTTTGTGACACTTTTTACTTTTGTGAAAAAAACACGGTCACCTGCAGCCCGAAAATACAGTAAAAGAAACACGGCAAATGAGAATAACTTACTTTTCACAAAACAACTGTTATTTTAAAAACAAATTAAGAAAAAAGAGCTTTAAGTACAAATGAAGTTTGTCCATTATATTGGACGATTGCAATGAAAGGGTTAAACTGATAGAAAACACATAATTACCTCCTCCTACAGCCATTTTAACCGTTATTTTACATACAAAAAATTTAAGTTTGCGATTTTGCGACGCTTATCACGCCTTGCGGAATCCCCTAAGTATATTTCAAACTTGAACCAACAACGGAGACATCTATTATATAGCGATTACGCCTTTATATCGCGATATCATCTGTTCACTGTTCGCTGTATACGTAATAATCAATTAATGAGTTAAACTATCTTATTATGGGTAGTCAATGCTTTAAAGATCACATTTGTGCAATATACCCTGTAAACCAAAGTTCCCGAACTCTTAATGAAATCTATAGGAGTATTTCATTTCTGTAACGATTTTTTTACAAATCTTTAAAGAAAATTGTATGAAGTGGTTGACACGAACTAGTAAAGAAATTTCTGTACGAAAAATAAAGAAAATTCTGAACAAATTCTGCAAGAAATTCTTCATATACCAGCGTTATTTTCATTGCTTTACCGATTTTCTTCCGAAATTTCGTAAAAGAATCGGAGTGTGCACAGCGTATTTAATTTAAGAAAATTCCTCAAAAAATTGGATGCGATCTTTACGAATTCTTTAACATTTTTCTGCAATTCAGAATACTCTGAAAAAATGGTTTGCATTATTTATGGTTTGTATTTATTTATATACATAATTGACAATCAGTTAGCTTAAGTTGCAAATGTGTCCGAGAAAGCGTTTCGAAACATACAAACATACATATGTACATACGAGGGTACTAACAAAAGTTCGGTAAATTGATAAAATTTTAAATGGTTTTAAAAAATCTAAAACTGGTACATTCGTCGTAGTAGTAGTTTCATTCTAAATCTCAAAGCAATTAGTAACAAAGGAGACGATAAAACGTAAAGCTCCTGACGACAGCTTAGACCTTTGAAAATTTTCAATGAACTCCAAACTGCATATGCAATCAACGCACCATTTCTTCAGACCATTTGTAAATGGCTTCATAGATTCCAGGCTGGCTATTCTTCGCTGCGGTATGAGCATCCAGAACGGCGGCCAAAAGCTGATAAAGGGAAAAATTGACTAAAATTCACGAATTATACAAGAAATCGTAGCTAGTGAATTAGGCTTGAATGCGATGGCTGTATCGCGAATATTGCAGAGCAAGTCCACTTCTCAAATCATGGCAACAAATAACAGAAACAGAAATCATGATCTCGGCTTACTTCATTAGAGCAAAACTTTTAGCGGCTATTACTCTAGATAATGGTACAGTAAGTGACAAATGGTAGAAACAAGGAGGAACTGCGCTGATACTTTTTAAACCACGATAATGCCTCAGCTCACACCGCTGCAAAGGCACTTATAACTTTATTTCACTTTGTGGCATCGAATGAATTCGCCCGGTACCATATAACCCGGATCTTGCGCCGCGCAGATCCGGTTATTTTCAAAAGTTTGTGGGGAAGAGTCTTCGGTAGCAATGTAGAGATAATTAATGCGGTTAACATATAACATAAAAAGCTACGAAAACGTGATTTTTAGCACATTTTGAGCAGTGGATCTTCAGATTAAAGAAATGTATTGAAATTAGTGGTGTTTATGTAAAAAAGATGAAAAATAGCAATGATTGATAATAACAAATTAAAATACTTTTGTATTTTTTTTCCAAACAACTTACCGAACTTTTGTTAGTCGCCTCGTACATATGTACATATGTATGTAGTTCGGAGTGGTGCAACAATTGTTGATCAAAGAATGTATTAATTGCATTATAGCCTATGAACGCGTCATTAAGTATACGATTCAATGGTGGCATCGGCACAAATGCAATAAAAACGACAAAAATATACATCGCGAACAGTGCGGTTATGCAATTTAAGTTTTTTACATGCATACATTTATATCTACACAATACATCCCAGTGGCCTTGATTCAAAGTGAACATTTGGATATACATTTACATGCGTGGCTGTAGCTCGGTGCACAAAGATGCTTGCCACTATTTGTTAGCTTTCAGGAGGGTCCGGGTTCAAATGCCGTCAGAAGCTTTTCTTATGTTTCCGAAATATGCAAAAGCATCTGTGAAGTGCAGAACGCAAGCTTACTCCAACGAAAAAAATCTCCAAAGTTGGACTAGTCCGGGACTATCTTACGGTCAGTGTTGATTGGACCGGTCTTTTCCAATGACACGCCAATGCAAAAAATGGCAGGGGAATTATGAGGGACTAGTGCTGGTAACAATAGGGACTATCTGAGGGCTAACCTAGGGTCAGTCTGAATTGCTGCAGGGTACATATATACATATATATATAAATATACAAGAAATGCAATGCTATGTCAGATGACATCAAAAATCAATACACCGTGCAATGTACAGTTGTACTCGTATGTTAATTTGTATATTTATTCTAGGAATATGTGTATGTACATTAGCATTGTTGCAAGTCTACAGTAAATGGTAATCTTCATATGATAAGTACTTGTATACTATTATATTTATGCAAATTAATGCTTTAAATAATTACTTCGCTTTTCAAAACTGGCGAAGACTTACATTTAAACACAAGCATGCATATTTACAGTTTTGTTATTTTTTTGCAATTAACATTATCTACTTTAACTGAAATGATGTTAAATGTGGCAGAAACTGCAAAATATTAATGGTCATGTGCAAGTAAGTACACATTATGTGCATACATTTACATACATCAACAGACATACATATGTATGTTTTTATGTACTTATGCATCAATGGCCAAGCAGGACTGCCGTGATGCATTAACGTCTAATTGGCTGCGACACAAACATTTTAAATGAAAATAAAACAAGTAAAGAAGTATAAGTTCGAGCGAAACCGGACTTTATATGCCCTGCGAACGTATTAGGTATCGTTTTTCTCCTTACTGTAGGATGTTCTTTCCCGATTTCAAATAGACTTAAAGCCATAAACTTGTCAATTAGTATAGTTACATCGTTAGTTAAACTTAACTACAGAAAATTACATAGAAATTGATTGAAAATGGGACCAAGCATTTGGAAATTGATAAAGCAGTTGTCATAATAAATGAACATTAGGGTGGTCCTTAAATGTAGGAAGCAAATTTTTGCATCAGATTTCCTAAGCCTCAGCCCCTACGTCCATGTTACTACTATAATCGCAGATATCACATATCAATTTTGGTCTCAATTGGACCAAAATTCCTTGACTTTAATAGTATCGATTTTTGAGTCCATAGAGGCATCTGGCCTTTGCGACAGGCCTTAACCGACTCCGATCGGGACAAAAATGTATGTACATATATATGATATCTTCGACTGTGGTAGTAACGATTTTGGGTATTAGATGAAAAAATAATAATTTAAATTTTTTGTGTCTCTGTACAGGTACAGATACTTTGCACCCTGTGCGACACGGCTGATATCTGTGGCCGTGCTATTACCAATTGAGGCAGTGAGACTGAAAAAAGTTCACTTGATTTTTAAGGACTAAGCGGCGACTGATCTTAGGTGGGCGGTGCCGCGCCCATTTTTTAAACATTTCATAATGGTATTTTTATGTTAAAATTCTATTTCACATTCCAAATTTTAACAGTTTGGATCTAGCTTTTGAAACATAGGGAGCCGGCCATAGTTATTGCCTGATTTCGCTCATTTTCAATACTAACCAAAAATTGGATAACGGACAACAACCCATATATATAGCGTTGAGATATCTCATATTTTAATAGAGTTATCGTGCCTACGGACTGACAGGCAGACATGGCTTAATCGATTTCAGGTTATGTACCAACTCGTTATGGGCAAATTCAACCGGAATTGCTTTTGTGCATTTTTTGTATAAAAATATATAATAAATTGATTTACATTCCCAAAGCGTATTTAGCTAAATTCCATATTTCCTGTCCCCATCCGCGTACTCACAATAAGTATGGGATAATTAAATTTTGGTACACACTCACATACATACATACATATCTATCCGCGTTCAATTTAAATACCCGCACACACACAAACCATCTAAGGCAAATAAGCACTATAGTATACACAAGCGCACCTGCATACACGCATATGAAAATCTACAAAAACTCAATTAGTGAAATGCATCGACCATAATGAAATATTCAAAACGCATTTAACAAAATTTCCGCTATCATTTTTTTTACATTTTTAGCAAAAAGTTTTCAATTATAATTAACTTATCGCAATTTTTTCATTCCTCTTCCACATGCATTTATTTCGGGTTGCGACAGCGCAATCTCTCCAATCAGAGCCATGTCGTGCTGCTGGCCGTGCCACTCAACATATCCGGAAAGTTTACGTGCGAGATTTCCGTGGAGGCGCCAACCTTCCAGACCGCCATGGTCTCGGGTGAACTGGAAGTTGTGGGTAAGTACACAACACATTTTCATACACACATGCATACATATATGTATG